CAACCGTTCGATCGTCGTTCTTGACGTCTGCTGACACCCTACAAATAGGCATTCAAGCGGTCTTTGTTGCCCACCGACTGGGACAGGTTTCAGCGATATTCCGGCCGAGTACGCCGCCTGCGTCATGACCACCGTCACCTCCGCTCGGCAGTGGACAGGTCGAAGCGTCCAGCATTGATACATTCGAAGGTCTTCGATGAACTGGCAGCAACATGCCCAACATCGGACATATTCCCGAACCTCCAGTCGCTCATTTGGTACCCATCTGCTCCGGAGAGGCAGCGTCTCTGCCTTGTCTTCATGCACCGGCGCGTAAAACATCTTGGCCTCCATCTCTATCGATCCGAACCCCCTTCCCTCACAGACTTCATCAGTCAAGTATGCTCACGATGCCCGACCTTGACGAACCTCGACCTGTGTCTCGAGGAACACATGGGTAACTTCGAAGACTACGCCGTGGTTCTCCTCCGCGGACTTCCCCACCTCCAGCGGGTGTCGGTCCCAATATACGGTCTCACACCTCGACTTCTCACGGAGCTGTCGCGGCTCAAGAACGTTGCGACAATCAACCTCGCCCACCCCGCCCGCGCTGAGCCGGGGAACCGCGCCGACGTTGCCCACTTCTTCCCTGCCATCGCCAACAACGCATTCCCAGCCCTCCGCATTCTATCCTTCAGTGCTCAAATAGAGGATGCTGCGCAGCTCCTCCGCTCGTCTCTCTTTCCCGCGCAGCTCACGGAACTGCACTTGAAGGCGATAGTGATTGCAACTCCGGATGCGCTGCACGATCTGTTCTCCGTAATCCGGGACAGATGCACGTCACTTGTCCAACTGTCCGTCGACTACATCATCGCACCAGATTCTCGCCTCACCTCTCCTCCACCATCTCTTCACGACCGACCAGCCATCGCAACATTCCGGCCGCTCTTCTCGGCGCGTTATCTCCGGACATTCGAGTTTCGCTGGGACTACGCTCTTGCCATCAGCGACGAAGACATCGAGGAGTTCGCGAGCAGCTGGCCTTCTCTGGAGAGCCTGCAGTTGAACCCCGAACCGGTACCCGAGCCCAACGTCCCCGGGCTCAACTTGCGCGTCCTCCTCCCCTTTGCTCGTTACTGCCCCAACATCCGTCACCTCGGTCTCCACGTCGACGCGCGCACGATCCCGATGCTTGCCCCCACGCCGCGGTCCCAGAGCCTGCCCCGGTTTCGCCGCCTCCAGACCCTCGCAGTCGGGCTCTCTTCTATTGCCAAGTCCGAGCCCGTCACGCTCTTCCTCAGCCAGATCCTCCCGCTCGGATGCACCATTGCCTTCGGGCTGCGCTGGCCGGACGCATTCGACATCGCGATGGAGCATGCGCTCGTCCCGGTTAGCCTGCGTGCGGAGATGTCGACCAACCACGTGCGGTGGAACGAGGTGTCGAGGATGCTGCCCATAGCGACGAAGGCGAGGATGGAGGAGAAGGCGCATATCGAGGCGCTGGAGAGACAGATGATGGAGTTGGAAGTATCGAGGAGGGAGGACAGGCAGAAGCTGAACTGGTTGGAGCAGGAGGTCCAGGACTTGCGAGGTCGCACCGGACGGACACCATGAGGTGCGTCCTTCTCGGCTCATGGCCGTTGTTGGGCTTCCCCTATGGTCATTGACGGCCTTCTTGGATGCATGTGAGTGCTTCATCTTGGTTGCCTCTTGAAGGCGTCGCCGAGGCCGTGGTGACCGTCGATGTCCAAGTTATCGCGAGCCCGTCCAGCGACTTGCTCCGCGCTATCTCCCACATGCCATATTTGCTTCATTTAATGACTTCGTTGCCAGGCCCGTCCAACAAGGTCGAGCTCGGCTCATCCTAGTACGCCCTCTGACTCCTTCCACTGTATAGACCCGCTGCCAGTGCTCCGACCTATCACTGTATCATAGAGTCAATGTCTCCCATACAAATTGCGCGGACGCCGTCGGAGGAACAAATCTATCGATCAGTGCGCCCACAAGACGTCGTCTTCACACGTCAGCGGCCGGTCACTGGTCCTCCCGGCTGCACGCCACCCTGCAAGTACTTAGTCTTGTCTGATGCCCCTTGGGATGTACCAGCAGCTTACTGTTCCCCGATCACCCTACCTCTTGCTCGACAATATCGGATGCACGTTGCAGCATTCCCGTAGTTCAACGGCTCAAGTATTGGCATTGTAGTGTCCGCAACTGGTGCGTTTCACGCTTTATGCAACCACCCCTAAGTAGCCGGTGACAGCGTCGGCCTGCAGGTCCCGTGGTGTCCAATCTGGCGACATGCAAGACAGCGTGGCGCAGTGCCGCGAGCTATCCGCGCACGGAGTCTCGAGAGCGCGTGGTTTTGTGGGCGTAACCCCGGTGAACGGACATGCCTGCCCCCCTCGTGCGTAGTCGCTTCCTGTATTGGTTCCGCTATGCCTGCTATGTATACAATGAGCTATAATCCATCAGAATCCGCACAGCCTACACAATCTCCCATGTACTGTCTCTTACGTGTTGATCTAACGCATACGTACTCGTACACTGCAATCGATTGGAAGACCGGTTGGTCAAGCGATGTGAGGTATTCGTAGCGTCTCTTCAAACTTCTCGTCACTTGGTTGCCGGTTTGTTCACATATCGCGACGGCGGAGTCTGGCCGTAGAAGTAGGACAGCATCCCGTCCGAGTGGGTTGCCGTCAGGTTGAACAACGGGTGGGTAGCGTTCTATCCACCGGTCGGGAAAAAGAACCACGGTCAGCCTTCAATCCGTCGCCCGCACGAGGACCGCTGCGACTCACCACACGATTGGCTGCGCCGCCGACGTACACAGCCGTGCCCTCCTCCTCGGACCAGGACATGGCTTGTGCGAAGGTGCCCTTGCGCAAGTCGTCCAGCCTCTCACGGTCTGCGTCCGACAACGGAGCATACGCTGTGCCTGGGCGCGGGGATTCCTCAGCACATGCTCCTGCGGAACCCACAAACGGGGTGGGTGACCGCGCAGCAGGAGAGGGAAAACATACCGGCTTTGGCATCGGCCTGGGACGGGTTCCAGGCGGAAATAACAGCCTTCTCGCGCGCCTCGGAAGGGATGACGCGATGCTGAGCGGCCGATAGGCCCGCCGTGCAGTAAAGCGTGTGGTACGCGTCCGCGGGCCTGGAGGATCAGGACGTCAGCATGCGTTTCCGGGCGTGCGGAGGGTGTGTGGGCGCTCGGAGGAAGACTTACTTGGGCGGCTTGTCTCTCAGGCCGCCGGCAGGGTGTTGCCCGGCGCAGAGGATGTATTCCTGCAGCGCCTTGCGGTTGAACAGGGCATCTACGAATAGTGTTCAGCGGACAAATGGAGTGGGCACCGATCATCCAGGTCCGAGGAGAGATGCATTTGATGTTTTCAGCACAGTGCGCGCGAGTCGAGCAGTCAGCCGCTTACCGTCAGCATCGTCCCACGCCTTCTGTCCGTCTTCGTCGTTCTCTTCATGAGGCTCATGCGGCACGGCCTCGTGCACACGCGCGACGCCTAGAAGTGTCTCGGCCAGAACGACGCAACCGCCGACCCACCAGCTGTAGCACCCATCCACGAGCTTGTTCGTCCGGCCCTTGAACCCTCCGAGCTCAATAGGGAATCCCTGCATCTGCACGCACCAGCGAAGCAGCGCAGGCGTGTTGATGGCCGGCTTGGGGGACGAGCCACCGGCGGAAGAATGGTAGAGTTTGATGTATGGTTGCAGGAGGACCCAGGAGGCGGTGGCGCAGAACGTGTACCCACCGTGCGCCTCACCGAGCGGCGGACGCGGCGCCGAGGGGTCATAACTCTTCGGTGAGCCACTCGGGGTCTCTGGGTCGTCTGGGTTTCATATTGAGAACGATGCGCACGTGAAGTCATACAGTGCAACTGACCAGCCTCGAAAGCCCATCCTGGGAAGGAAGCATTACAGAACCCGCCTTCGTAGGTTTGGCAGGTGGCTAGGAACTCGGGGACGCCCGCGAGAAGCTCGGGCGTGAGCAAGTTTAGCAACGTCGCTACCGCTAGCAGACAGTAGATGCCCCTATGCATCCGAGCGATCAGACTCCGATTGACGGGGGAGGCGAACCACTTGCCTGACGTCTACTTCACCGTGATGACTGACGAGGAAAGACCCATCGCTTTGCTTCAAGGACATGAAGAAGTCATACATCTTCTTCCTGTGCAAGTCCCCGAAGTATGAGATATGCCGAGAAGAGAGCCGGAGGCATCAGCGCCGTACCGATCGATGGCGTCCCAGCCTCCGCCATCTCCAGGGCGTCCGACAATAGCGAACGAGCAGACGGCGGCGTAAGTGGGGAGCAGATGAGCAGCCTGACCAGGACCGCCCGCAAAGCCGCCTTCCGGGTGTTGCAGCGCCAGCAACGTGTCGATGGTTCTGATCAAACATGGATAAGCGGAACTCGCATAGAGCTTCCACCACTCACCGTTTCTTGGTCTGATCATCAAGCCCGACACCGAGGATGCTGAAGCCATGAAGAGTCCAGTATATGAGCCATGGTTGGCTCGCATCCTGAGATGTATAGCGCTCGGGGAATCCTTGTCTCAGATTCCGCAGGAGAAACTCGAAGTGCGCCTTCTTCTGTAGTTCACTTTGAGCTGTGCCTTGCACCGGGATGTGCTTCGTGATGATCTCTTCTGTTTCTTTCTGTAACCTTGAGGTATATGTTCCATATCCATCCGTTGGTGTGGGGTGGAGCTGAGAAACCATTCTAATCGACGAGGATTAGTTCCCCCTTATGAGAACGTAAAGGTAAGTAATCAGTGGAATGACACCGGACACCGGATTGTGACCAGAGAAGCCCTGATAGGTTCGCGGTTATGGCTGCAGTGATACCACTTACCGGAAAAGATGATGCAAGGCCGGTACTGGCCACTCGTGAACACACGCGATGGGAAGAAGGTAGAGGAGCCATTCAGGAGCAGGAACACAATTAACGACAGCGATAATAGAGCTGTATGCTACATGGCAATGTACCCATTACTACGTGCAAGTCCCGTTTAGCTCAGTTGGTAGAGCGCGTCACTAGTAACTCTCTAAAGAGATTCTATGACGAGGTCAGTCGTTCGAGTCGGCTAATGGGAAGTACTCGATGAATCGGCGGGTTTTCTTTTTGACCGCACGTTCATCCCCTCCGACGCTCCTCCGACGAGCGAGATAACCTATATGACTTGCTGGCTCAGAATGCGCATTCATACTCCAAACACATGCAGTACTGATAGGAGCTACTCAATGTTTCCCTACGCGAAGTACCAGCAGTATTACTGCCTCCTATCCTCTTCCGTTATCGGGAACTCCGGTCCATAGTCGAGAAACAGCTCGGTCCCAGGTGCCATCTGCCTCTCTGCATCAAGCAAGCGGATCAGCCCCAAGAATCCCGTGGCACCGCCTCTGCCCCCTACTTACTTGCAAAGACTCCGATTCGCTGTTCTCCGTCAACCAGGAGGACTACGTTGGGCATTGCAAGAGTCAGAAGTGCGACCCGAACACGCAAGGTGAAGACTCAAGAGGACACTCACTGGACACCTCGACGTTCGCTCGACGAGAATGGGCATGGTTGATGAAGCGCGCGGGGTTGCCGGCACGCATGCTGTCGACGGAGATCTGGTCATTGAGCCCGAAGACGTAGTTCCGCCGTAGGTGCCGTGAGAGCTCGCTGCGGAGGGTGCAGGCTGTCAGCATACGCAGGCAGACGCAGCAGCGAAGGTCAGGACGCACTTGCGGGAGTGGAAGGTCGCGTCGTATATTAGCTCGCCAACGTACTCTGAGGGCAGAACGTCAGAAATGAGACGGCAAGGGAAACGAATCGTACCTATGATGAGGTCGCCCTCCCTCACCGCCTCGGCGAGAAACAGGCCCATGCCGTGTCTGCTCTGCTTGGCCTGGACGAGCTGGCCGCAGACGCTCCATCAGGACGGCGCACCGCAATAATAGAGTCAGTGAACCATACCTTCGGGAATCCGCGCTGCAGCTGCATGTTTCTACAGAGCGAGTCCTTGGGACACGGCGCACAGACCTCGGGGTCGCACTCCCTCTTCGCTTTCCGGCACGGGCAGAGATCGGTCGAACACGGGTTCATCGTTACTTCCCGAGGGCCTCTCTTGTACTGCTTCGCGACGAGGACCGCGCACTTGCATCCTGCCCATCTCCTTGCGCCTGCGTAGTACGTGAGCGAGCATGAAGGGTTCGATGCGGGTGCTAGACGGACAGCGCACTGAGCAGGCGCACGAGCGAGAACAGTGCGCTGCATTGTCGGCGCATGCGCAGTCAGCATTGTGTACGCAGGGACCTGGATGGTTGCATGGCTTGTTCCTGCACAACCGACAGGCTGAGTAACTCAAGGACTCGGATGCACGAAACATCGCCGCTCACGGTATGAAGGCTGAGGTGTGCTCCAATCCTGACGAGACTTCAGCACACATAAGTGGGCATTGAATGCGAGGCTCACCGTATAGGTGTCTCGGATACGCAGCGGTGTCCGCGATCTGATTGCCCTGCTGTCTAGGGGGTTTCTTCTTCTTGGGCTTCAAAGCAAACGTGGAAGCAACGACCGCAACCTAGGCTCTCGTTGAGCTCAGCAGCCAGCAGAGGGGATTGCGACGTCAGCTACCTCGAAACAAGGCTTCATACACAGGCGGGCAAGCTTGCAGGGCGTGGTCGGCGGCGCGACGTGACAAATCACCTTGAGCTCGGCAATCTCAGCATGACTCCATGACACCTCTCCCTGCAAGACGGTGAGTCAGGCTGCAACCTGTCCACGTCGCGCACGCACCACAGATATCCTCCTATGCTCGACGGCGCAATCATCTCCGCACGGCGTCTTCGCTGACAGCAGGAATTTAAATCTCTCATTTCCTGGCACGGCGGGAGTGTCGAAGTCAAGGTTATACTGCTCCGTTGCTGAGTGCATGTCCCACTGTAAGCACCGAGACGTGTCGTGGACGAAGGAAACTGCCGACCGTGAGTGAAGCAATGTCCCTGCAGACAATCGATGCGGGGACACCACAGCGTCAGGTAGTCCTGGAGTCGCGTCTTCGCGTCGTCTGCGGCAGGCGGTGCGACATCGGGAAGAGGCGGTCCGGACACCCTCGAAGAGCCCGGCCACGGTATTGGATCACTATCAGGACGCTCCTGTCAGAATAAGTATACAACGGCGGATTGGCTAGCGGAGCTTCACCTCATCTTTTCCGTCCATATGGCGCCCCAAACGGAGGTTGTGCACAGCGTAAGCGGGAGGATGCCAGTCCTGTCGATCGCCTCCATCGAAATGCCGTGGCTACGATGCAGTCTCCTCGCGGTCTCCAACACAATCGCCAGAACTGCGGGAGCTGTTCAGTACCAGGACGCCACTCGGGACCATACCTGCGCACCGTCCGAATCGCGGTACCCCTCCTGCCAGGCGAGACCCTTGTGGTCGTACACGTAGTCGCGGAAATCGAACGTTGGCTCGTCCGCAAACGGGATGAAAGGGAGGTAGTTCGGATCGTCGCCGTGGAGGATGTTGGCGTTGATGGGAGCGCATGACTCGTATGACGGATATGGGTCAGAGAGGGAACCAGTAGCCGGAACCATCTCCGGACGGGTGTGCCTGCTATTGATATCGCTTGAGGAGGAGATCTCGTAGCATGTAAATGAGAGGGCGACGGGGGTGTCAGTGGCTTCATCTGTTTCGCTATGCGCTAGTCCAGCGGCATCCTCGATTGAGTCGAGCACCGCGCGACGCGCATCTGCGTCTGCACTTTCGCCTGCTCGTACTCTGAACAGAGTCTCCGCACAGTAGGATGGCTCCCATGAGAAGTATTCATCCCATGTGGCGCGGAATAAGCTGAGTACAACTTGATCCTCGTCTCTGACAGAACACGTCAGAGAGGCGCACATTTATCCCAGTGGGTCAACCTCGAATGTTAAATATCATAATTAACATCAAGTCAACGCACGAGTACTATTACTCTTTGACTCACGACGGTGGCAGAGCTACAGTGGCCCGACCTTGAATTTTCCGCTCGGAGTCGTGACAGTCAGGATTGAAAGGTAGAGAACCAGGGTATAAAGTGTGGTCGGCTAATAACAATATGATACTACGTGAGCTTGTGGCTTTTAGGAAGGGGGAGGAGGAGGAGGAGGAGGACGCGGAGACAACCGTGTTCTGAGACTCAGGCGCCCAGACACGTTACCGCGTTATTTGGACTTGTTTATCTCAAGTTGCTGCCGGCACCGAGCGCTGAGCGACGCTTGCATGGCATGTCTCTCGGATCCCTACCACTACTACTACTGAGTACTGGGCCAGTACGACGTGCGTCCTCCTCCCACTCGATCCGAGTCAGAGTTTTGACCAACCTCGGATCCGAAAGCAAGGCTGTGGCCGAAGTAGTACGTCGCGCTATCTGGTTCGATTGTAAGAACTGCTCACTTAATGAATGCTTGAGGTATCGAGGGTCAGCAGCTGCCACGCTGTGGTTGACTTCGTCTGAATAATCGAGCGAAGTGCCAAATCAACGTTGCATCCGCTCCTCGAGGCAGATGTGCCCGCCCGATGGGAGAGAACAGGCCAGCCAGAAGATTCCTATACCCGACCCCCGAGTGACAACCGACTTTGACCTGTCCAACAACACTCAGCCATACAATGGGAAACATCTGGACATACTGACACTGTCTCATGGGACAGACTGCGTCATTCTTCTCTACCAGGCCGAGGACAAGCGTGAATTCTCTTCCTTGGGCCGCTCGCATACCCCCGCCTCCACATTGTATCGCATAGCCGACGCAGCCTCCAGTGGGCTAGGGGTCTTCATGACTACAGACATCGAGCGCGGAGAGCTTATCATGTGCGAAAGGCCACTTTGTATATACCCCCAATTCCTCCCCTTCCACCGAGGCCTTCCGCCCGAACATGCCTACCCGGAGCTAGAGGACGCCATATCGCGACTGCCACCGAATCGCCGCGATGCATTCTTCCATCTCGCAAATAGCCATTCTGAGGAGCCTTCGCTGGTGAAAGGGATCGTCGACACGAACGCTCTGCACATAGGGTTGCTTCCCGGCTCGCGGCAGCAGTACGCTGGGATATGCAAGGACATCTCGCGCATCAACCACAGGTCAGTGTGTCCCCGCTCGGTCGATTACATGTGCACGTACTCATCTTAGGTCTATAGCTGCTCCCCGAATGCCGCGTACCGGTTCGACCTGGCCACGTTCTCTATCGAGGTCCGCGCGCTGTTCCCCATCCGGGCCGGCTCCCAAGTCTTCATCTCCTACATCGACCCCGCGCTGCCCCGTGCCTCCCGCCAGCAGGCGTTACTGGACTACGGCTTCACCTGCGCCTGCGCATACTGCTCTCTCGCAGGTCCGGCCCTGGAGCAGAGCGAGACTCGACGCAGCTTGATAGCACGGGCAGATGCGGGCCATGCCGCACGCGATGCCGCGCTCGAGCGGTGGGTGCGTGATCCCGATATGCCTGAGGACTACGTTAACCGCGCCGACAAGATGTACATGGACCTGCTGGAGGCGGAGCACCTGTACTACGAGCCGATTTGGGAGGGCTTCGTGACGCGGCTATGCAAGGCTTGTTGCGCCGTGGAGGATGCTGAGGGCGCGCGGAGGTGGGCTGGGCTTGCGCGAGCTCTGAACTGTGCTTACGGTGGAGACGAGAGGGGATGGGCTGCAGTCGAGGCGGCTCCTGAGCGTACTGAGTGGTGGGGCCGCAGGAGAGTATCCCGCCGAAAGACGAGGAATTGATACATGCTGGCAAGTGAGCGCTCTAACAATTCAGGTGCGTTCTACTCCTTAAAAACTACATAAATGTTGAGTTCTGACTGTGGTCGAGTAGTGCTGAGGAGGAGGAGGGAGAGACACCGTACTTATTCGACCCAGCCGTGTGCGGCTTTGGGCGCCAGTCTCGGCGGCAGCGCACAACGTCAGCCAGTCACGAATCCCGCTAGGACAGTATCGTGAAGCTCCGTAATTCCTTCCGAAGATATTCGCGGCTACGACTTGAAGTTCAACGATTCGGACTCAGGATAACATAGGCGTCTAAGTGGATGAAATATCAAGCGCTCATCTACGATATTGACGCCGCCATCTTCTCC